TTTTTTTTTTTTAATATTTTCTAATATCTCCAAATTTTTTATATGACTAATTTCTTGTCTAGAAACACATACATACCACAAAATCAATTAATATTTGTTTTTTTAAGCGAAAAGTTGGCCAAACTTAATTTCTTTCATTCAAATTATTCAAATTCACTACTTTAAAAGTAAGCGCTTCAAATATTTTCGTTTAATTTTTTATAATTTTTTTCATTTTCTGCATTTGTCGCTTACTACATTTCTGCTCGTTTATTGCACTATTTGTCAACTTACAGCACCGTGTTCACGCTGTGCACGGATTTTCAGATTTGATTAGCGCAATTTTACTTTTTGCTACGAATGCGTCACCTCTCCGGCTGCAATCAGATTAAGCTAATCTTCACAAACGCATAATTGCGCAGCTACTTTAGCTCAACGTTACCGTTGTCGTTGCCGTTGCAGTGTTGCAAGTTGCAGGCTCGTAGCTGCTGTCGTTAAGCCACTTCAGCGCTGGAGCACAGAAGCGTACACGGCGTATGAGCAATTTCCTTAAGTGAATTAAAATTAATGGCAATTTCGCTGCACAGCGTTCATCATTTGCATACGCTATTATTATTTTTCAACTATGTACCGTTATTGCATTAAGAGATCATTAATTTGTGTGCACTTCGAAGCAGCGCACAATCAAATGGATTTATTTGATTCGTAACCTTTCTTTGATTATTATTATATTGAAGCTTCCGCAATTTGCCGTTGCACTGCAATTTCTCAAACGCTTAACTATTTTTAACACACTACACAATTCCCGTTATACAAAATTTTCTTTAAACTTATACAAGTTTTTCGCACAAATTTTCACTTTTACTCGTTTCGAAGAAAAAATTTCCACTTAAAAAAACTTTTTGCGGCGCTTTTGAAACTCTTAAACCGTTACGCTGAGACATTAAGACAACCACACAAATTTAATTAGCACGTTATCGTCCGCTTTTCAATTGTGTTTGTTCTCGCGCGCACGGAGCATTTTCGACTGGAACCTTTGCGGTGACGTTGCCCCCGTTCGCAGGCCGAGCCAATAACAGCTGAAAAGCCAACAGCAGTCGCAGCTATGCAGCCCGAACAGTATAGGTAAGCTGCTTGCAGTTGTTGTTGTTGTTACTGCTGTTTCTACACGCCACCAACGTCATCCGTGCGCTATAGCAGCACTCGTTTATGCCGTTATCGTTCGTGCTTGCGGGCCACTGTGATTAGCGCTGAGCTCTTCATACGCTATACGTTCAAGCTCTCTCTATATCTCTCTCTGAGCACATTTCTCCGTTCAGCGTAACACACAAACACGTATGCCCGCATTGCCCAACTATGGAAGCAGTGAACTGTTATCAGCACCGGCCAAGACCAACAGCACTTCGGGCGCATACAATTGACACTTCCTATGCTGTTCGTAACTGTATTCTCTATGTCAGTGGGTCTATCGAACACACGCATCGCCAATCAGCGCCGCTGCCCGGCTCGCGCACGCCCCTGTTGCTCGTGCGCTTGTGCTCGGTCAACCATCTAGCTGTACAGCATGACCATGGCATCGCGGTGCCACGGCTGTAAATCTCTGCAGACTTCTTTGTTAGACCTATTACTCACCAGTGTTTGTTTATTAGTCTGTGCACTGTTATCAGCCGATTTTAAGATTTGCAGCACATATTCCGTGCACTATCTCTCTCTCACTCTCTGGATTACTCAGTCGTTATTAAGCGCTCGCCAGCTGTACGTGCTCACCAATCTCTGCTTTAATAGGGTTGCACAGATTTATCGCATGCAATTTGAGTATTTCACGCGTGTGAACATAGTGAAAACGGAACATGTTAGACAGCTGTTGTACAGACTAACAGTTGACTCAAAATAACGCGAGCGCTCATTGAGTAATTTCGTACATTCCTGTAATATTTTTAAAACAACTGGAACAGAGCATGTTATAAATAAAAGTTCTGGTTGAAAACATTACTTAACAGTCATTTTACTATATGTGACATATTAACAGAGCCAGGTAAGGGAATTTCTCAAATTTTAAGTACTAGTATACAGAGTATGGAATATCCGGAGATGTGAACTCATTAGCATATATTAACACCACCTTAACACAGGTTCTGGATATTATTCTCTACATCCGAACAATAAACATACAAGTGAAATATGAAATGATACCTGAAATGATATATAACTTTATTAATGAAAGCGAACAATGTAGGGAATGCGACCCAGAAAAAGAGGCCATAATACTGAACCAAAATTTCTGTGACCAATAGTGTCAACGGCGTAATATGTTTACTTATGGATCGAAAGGTGAAACAGGAGCCACAGTGAGCTTCTTCTACAGTAATTCATACAGAGAAAGCAGCTGATACTTCGGGATAGTGCTGATGGTAGACAATCCAAATAATTTCTACCTATGTATAAGCAAGAGGGAGCCTTGTAGGAATCCTCACTGGGCACATACCCTTAAAATCTCGACTTCAGAAAATGGTAACAATGCATTTAGCATAATACCTATAAGCAACGTTGAGCATGAAAGGCTTATTTAATATCTGGAATTTTTATCTTAAACATGACTTCAGTAGCGTAAACTAATATTTGGCATATTATATTAGTTTTGAGAGAAATATGGCCTATGTCATCAGAAGTATATATCAATTATCATTGAGTGCATGAAAGAATGGATTCCATTAAAATCCTGAATTTCGGTATTAAGTCACGGAGAAGACAACAACTCCTAGAACCGCGTTGCCACATATCTAAGGCTCCAGTTGAAGCAACAAAATGGTGAAGTATGGGAACTGATATCATATACTCTTATCACCCATATCACCGTGATACACATATATATAACTATACATTTCTATTTATAGTTGGATCTACGAAGCAGCAAACAGAGTATAATCTGAAAATTCTATAAACTTAATGTTACAAGAAAAAAATTGCAAAAAACGGTGTTGTTTAGGTCAAAGTTAAAGTCCTGTCCTGGTATAGCAGTTATACAAATAATACCAAAAAATTACTTTGACTTGGTGGAAATAATGGACTAAAATGTATAGCTTTAAGAAAACTGTGTAATTATTAATATGGGTCACCAAAGAACTTGCAGGCGATACACAATATATGACGAGAGTATAAATTAATCTCAGTAACATAATTTTCACTCATCTAAAACCTTTATGATTCATTTAAAAATTTATAGGAAATTAAATTTTTTCTCCTCTTGAGCCAAATTGTCATCAGCAAAATCATTCGTCATAAATTGGAACAGATAATAATTAATCGCTGCCATGTTCAGATAACAAGTTGAATACATAAGTCACTATCGGTCTGTGTAGTCCGATCCTGATTGCATACAATTATTTCCTTATTGACCAAAGCTAATGGCTTCTTGGCAATTGCTTACCTCAGCCGATGAAGTTGTTGACAGTTACAATCCCAAATTAAGAGCTTGGCCGCAGGCGAACAGGCAGTATATAAACCTATCCAAAACCACCAAACATATACCATACCGTCATTGGCAACGCCTCATGGCTATTACACCATGGCCGTTTTCCAGCCAGGGATAACTCCACGATTACTATTATTTTATCGATATTTTTCCAATAAGTCTAGCAGAAAACTGTGCGTGAATTAATCAAAAATCAGCCAAAATCATCATTGAAATTCATGGAAGTGGAATTGAACATCTCCAAAACATCGATTTATCGCATTTTGACCGAACATTTGAGCTTACGAAAGCTGTGTGCACGGTTTGTTCCGCACAAATTGACTTACGACCAAAAATTGCTTAGAATCCGTCTCATCGATCGACGCTTGTGACCGATTATTTGACCAAAAATCACATTTTAACCATTAACCACTCCCCGTATTCACTTGATATGGCACTGTGTGACTTTATCATGTTAGGAAAAATGCATTTGCCTTTGAAAGGAAAGCGTTATACAGACGTAGAGACCATTCAAGAGACTTGCACCGAACTAAAACACTCGTTCGATATGCGTTTGGACCATGAAAAAAGCTGTATTGAAGCAGAAGGAGACTTTTTTGAATAAAATGAATTGACTTTGAAGAAAAAACCATTTGTTCTATTTTTTTTTTTACTTTTTTTTAAGTCCTGTTTACTTTGGAACTCACCTTGTATATGTGGATAAAATAAAGTAGTGTTAGTTACATATTTTGTATTACATATAGCTTATACTAATTTTGGTCCGAACCATGCAGTTTTGTTTTTTTTTAGGACGAACCCGTCAGATATAAATATGGTATTGATATTTTCGTCGTCAAGGCATTGCGTGTACTTTGCTAGATTATGGGCGAGGGCCGCAAGTGCATTCATAAAACCAAACGCGATATCTAGCATAAAAATATAGCGGATTACCTGGAGTGTTGACAAAAAGGTCTTTTATAATTTGAGATATACAGAAATATTGTCGAAGCATTGCGCAGAGCGGTGCAATATTTAAACGGGGACGATGAAGTATACGCCTACAATTTCTAACTGATCCTTCCTTAAAGATAATAAAATTGCTAAATATTGGGAATGGTAGAATAGAACTGCAACCAAATACGCAGTGCAATGGATTAAAACTGGTTCAGTAAT